CCAATTTCAGGATATATTAGGCAGTGGCCAATTCTATAAAATGCTCCGCCTCACTGCAGATAGCCCGCCGTCCGATAGACCCCAAACCTCCCTCCCCGCCTCTCCCCACCTCCCCCTCCTCCCCGCCCCTTTCTTCCCCCTGGCTGCGCAAGTCAATTCTGTTAAGGATGAGTGCCGCTTCTTTAAAACGGAGCTATGCGCAGCTATGGCTGCCGTCGCCGTCGTGAACTGCCCCAGAAGGACAGACAGAGCCAAACGGAGCCAGAAACGGAGATATGCGGTGCGCCCTTTCCAGACACTAAAACGCGGGAAATTTAGCTTAGAAAAAAAAAAAAAAAAAAAAACACTCGTGAAGGATAATCGACGAACATTCCTACGCTGTATCAGACGCATTTCTGGAACCAGACGCACTTTCATAATACCCCTTCCGAGCGATGCCATGTAGACATTTTGCTCAATCGACGGGGCACCACCTACTGAAATTTCCTTCTTTGCTTTTATTTTCTTTTCTATTTAATTAATTACCATTTGATCAAATCGTGGATTGACGGTTACCAATGCGGGTAGCTTTGAGATCCTCCAGTCAACGGATGATACCCCTACCCCTCTTTTCTTTCTTAAACGGATTATCATCTTGCCATCGATACGAAAGTCCTTTTCTCCTTTCCTGTGCTTTGAGCACATACATCATCATCATCATCAACATCATCATCAACATCATCATCAACATCATCATCATCATCAACATCAACATCATCAACATCATCATCATCATCATCACCCAACGGCTTCCGCTGTGGAACTACCTAGTGGAAGAGAGCATGCAAACCGCCATAGCCATCATCATCATCATCATCATCATAATCATCATCATCAAGTAGTGGCCGATTCCTAAGCTGAAGCCATTGATGATAATGATGATGATAATGATGATGATAATGATGATGATAATGATGATAATGATGATCATGTCAATGATGACGATGATGATAATGATGACGATGATGATAATGATGACGATGATGATAATGATGACGATGCTGATGATGACGATCACGATGATGTTGAGTATGATGAAGACAAGGATACAGATGAAGACGTGGGTTTCTTTTTTTTTTGCCCTTCCGTACCCATGTGGGTCAATGTGGGTCAATGTGGGTAAACGCGGGTAAATGTGGGTAAATGTCAACAGCTGCAGCTGCGGCAGAGTACCTCGTTGAAAAGAGAGCATGCGCACTGCCATAGCCATCACCACCCTCATCATCATCACCACCCTCATCATCATCATCATCATCATCATCATTCTATCATCATCGTCACCATCATGATGATGAGCATGATCAGTAACCGCAAAAATTTGGGAGAACGTGTATAAGGAAGACCGTCATCATCACCGTTAGCAGGTACTTCTGTAATTACGCTAACGGTGATGATGACGCTCGGCGCGCAGCGGAGGACGCACGTTTCGAAAACGTCTGCCTGGCAATGACGCTCGGCGCGCAGCGCACAGCGCGCAGCCAGCCACATGTTCCCCCGCCATTACGAAGAGGACGTACGTTTCGAAAAAGTCCACCTAGCAATGACGCTCGGCGCGCAGCGCGCAGCGCGCCGCCAGCCACATGCTCCCCCGGCATCCGACTTAAACCGCACGCGCAGCACAAAATCAATCAATCAACTGTCTGGATTGAACGGCAACCTGCCACGTGGCTGGGCAGTACTGACCCCACTACCTGTCTTTTTTCCTACACGCGCCGCGAAGAGGACTCCGCACAACGGACTCAGAGAAAAAAATATAATATAATAATTAATAATAAATTAATAATAATAATAATAATAATCCAAAACGTCGCTAAGAGCCCAAGGGGTAAAAATTAAAAAAAAAAAAAAAAAAAAAAAAAAAAAAAAAAAATGACGAATACAGCACAGTGAGCGATTACGCTTTCTTCGTCGAAGGATGGCTGCTTCCAGGTCCGATAGACTATTGGAACAATATAGAGTACAGTAAATACGTACGTAAGGGCATTCCCCTTACGGGGCATACGGTTAAATTGGAACGACACAGAGAAGATCAGCATGGGAAAAAAAAAAAAAAAAACAGAGAAATGATTTGGGTGCCCCAGAGACGAGAGAAAAGAA